CTTCAATCCAAGCCCCTCATCGGTACTCCCAAGCCATTCTTCTGAAAATAGTCACCCTCTCTTCTCCACCCTGGTCCTCATCCCAGGTTCTTAAAAATAGGGGAGAGACAGATAAAACCTCATCACTTCACCCACAAGATTCACTCTCCACTATTTTGATTCCTGACTCTAGTTGTAGGAGAGCCACAAGATAGACTCCACATCTTCTGGAAGGAACTCCAAGAGACAAGACCTCTTCCCCAGGCAGCCCCCTTTCCCACAAACCCAGCTCTCAAAAGTTTTAAGTTCCTTCCACCAGCCACATAGCTCCTTACCACTTCCCAGATGGAGGGAACGTTCCAACAACCTATGGGACCCTTCACTTTCTGCTTGAAATCCTCTGAAATGCTGCCTGGAACTTTGCCACACCATTGGTGCATCAGTACTCAACCCCCCTGCCTAGCCAGCCCTGTTACATCTCTCAGTGAATGCTTTGGAACCATACTACCACCCAAATTTGTGTCTAAGTGCTACGGGTAAAATTACAGTCTCACTGGAAGTTCACAGGTCCTTAGTCATTCATTATTCCCAGATGCCCACATCTCATTAAAACCTCGTCTCATCCCCCAGATCTCCTCTTCTGCCTTTTCCTAGTTCTCTCTCTGTCTTCTCAACATTAACCTCACTATCAGCAATCACCTCTCCCAACATCCTCAACCTGGAATTTTCCCATGGATACCACATGCCCCTCAGCTCTCCAAGAGGGAAGTTCCTTTTCCTGACTCCTGGCCTACGAGTTCCCAAACATTCTCATCCTCAAAGACCTTTTCTCTCACCTCCTTTCCAAGCACCTCAAGTCACGCTCGCAGCAGAGCTTATCACCCATAAAACTGCATCACTTCCCCAGTAAGGATCTAAGCATTCCCAGTGCACCTAGAATAAAATAAACACTTTTCATATGGATCTGTAGGATTGTCCTTTGCCTACTTCTCAGTGTTATCTCTACCTCTCCTGCTCACTTACTTATGACTATATAAGCCTTCTTCCAGCTCTGCAGACAATTCAAAGCCCTTTCCTGAAAACTCAAAGTCCTTTCCTAGGCCTTTCTACCTGGAATCTTCTTGCCAGAAATGCCCTTCTCCTGGTTCTTTGCATGGGTGATGCTCATCCTTGGGTATCAGCTAAATCTTAATTCATGACCACAACCTTACCTGTCAGCTCTTGGTAAGTGGGTTTCCTTCCTCCATTTTTTCTATATCATATAGAACACCTGAGAGGTCTACAAGTTCATTTCTCAGTAATTAAGCTTAATTTTTATTTTATCCTATCATTCCACTGGTTGGAGAAAAAATAGAAACTAGCATAAAATTTTAAAAGAAATTGTATTTCAATTTAAAGAGAGAGAGAGGACCAGGGCTAGCTGCCGAGAGACAGAAAAAACCTTTCTTGGGTTTCCCTTCTTCTACCTGATGCTAAGCTCTGGATAGAATACAAAGTGGTGAGGTATGCGGTGGTGATGGGAGTGGGGTCAGGTGGAGCCTGGTTTCCAGTGTCTGGCACCCACTGAGAGAATCTCCCTCCTACGAGGCCATCAGTCTCCACAGGTCACTGTGGCACCTTCATTGGTTGTGATGTTATCATTTCAAGACTGTAAATCTCTCCATGTATCTGTCTTGGCTTCCACAGGACCCAGTATTGGTTGGGTCTTAATGGATGCTCAAGAAATACTGGAATTGACTCTTCCGAAGACCTCTTGGTCACCAATGATACATGAAAGAAAGTTGGATGTCCATGCTAAGTCTGATGCTGAGAGCCCCAAGCGGGCTGCACACATGCAGATCATTTATTCTTCTATGGTTTCCTAATTCATTTTAGGGTTCATAGAAGATTCACAAGTTTACTGCATTTGAGTTTCATGCACCCCACCTACTGTGACATAGAATTTTAGAGACACAGAGGTCTTAGAAACTGTTGAAAGTGAAAGTGAAAGTTGCTCAGTCATGTCCGACTCTTTGCCACCCCATGGACTGTATCCATGGAATTCTCCAGGCCAGAATACTGAAGCGGGTAGCCTTCCCTTTCTCCAGGGGATCATCAACCCAAGGATCAAACCCAGGTCTCCTGCATTGCTGGTGGATTCTTTACCAGTTGAGCCACAAGGGAAGCCCAAGAATACTGGAGTGTGTAGCCTATCCCTTCTCCAGTGGATCTTTCCAACCCAGGAGTTGAACCGGGGTCTCCTACATTGCAGGCAGATTCTTTACCAACTGAGCTATGAGGAAAGCCCTTGAAGTTGAGGTGCTAAGTAAAGTAAGTCCCAGAGAAAGGAAGTAAATTGTCCAAAGGAACAAAACAAGTTAGCAAGGTTGGGACTAGAACTCAGGTCAATTAATGCCAAGTTCTGTGTCCTTCCACAAGATGATGCAGAATATACCACATCAGCCCCATGAACGATATCAGATCCATCCACCAAGTCTGGTCTGTGGGTTACATTGGCCCCATATAATACTGGCTTAAATTTCCTTTCTTCTTTTATAAATTTTTATTTGAGTATAATTATGTGTAATGTTGTGTTAGTCTCAGGGACACAGTAAAGTGAGTCAATTATACATGTATCTACTGTTTTTAGAAACTTTTCCCATATAGGTCATTACAGAGTATTCACTAGTGGCTTGATTTTCAAAATGTTGGCTACAGATAGATATCTATTGTTTACATGTACCACTTTGACTGCTTACAGCACCTTGACCGTCTACTGTGTCCATGTACCACGTCACTTACAGGTACCATGTTTCATGTTGATTGCAAGTATTCTATTGGTTTCAGTGCCCCTAGAGTAGGTTATATTATCACCTCCATTATTTGCTGCTCTCACTGTAGAAGGAATATACATCCATCCCCACTGCCACGTGACCTGCATTAGTTTTCTGTGGGAGGAAAATACTTCCTGCCCTTTTGCCATGAGGCTTAACCATAGGATGTTTTTGACCAATAGGATGTGAGCAGAGAGATGAGTGTCACTTCTGAGTGGAAGCTTTAAGAGGTATCATACTAAGTGAAGTAAGTCAGATAGAAAAAGACAAATATTATATGATATCGCTAATATGTGGGATCTAAAAGAAAAACACAAATGAACTTATTTCTGATAGTTTCAGCTTAGCTCTTAAAATGATGGCTTACACCTTGTCTTGGGATCCTGGATGAGCCCCCAGGATGATAGACGAAAGTTTATGGTATTCCATTGGATTCGTGGTCTCCAAAGAAGAAGATTTAACTCCAGGACCAAAGACAGTCTCAGTCACTCGGACTTTTGTGTGGTAGAAATTTTGTTAAAGTGATAGTGGCAGAAAAAAGTTTCTGACATAGATATCAGATGGGGGTAGAAAGATTACCCACCTCGCTACTGTAAGCAGAGCATTGAATAATTTTCTGCTAACTTCTGAGAATAGAAAAAATACTTCAAGGCTGTGAAAATTTTGCCCAGACCCTTTCCTGTAACATACATCCTTGGGATGACATCAGCATGAGATTAGCCAGAAGAGGTTAACCCAGAGCTCAAGGCTATGGAAGTTGTACCCAGACCTTCTCCCATAGAATACATTCTGAGCTCAAAAAAAGCATGTCCTTGAGCAAGAAATACTGCTGCCTATGAGGCCTTCATGTTTAAGGAGAAGAATGTGAAAAAGAAAGAATGTTCACCTCCTCCTTAAAGGGCCTTTAGACTTGGACTCCTTATCAACCTGACCAAGTTAATGCTCTAACTTACAAAATAGAAATAGGTTCAGAGACACAGAAGACAAACTTATCTCTACCATAGGGTAAAGGTCAGGGGAGAAGGATAAACATAGAGCTTGGAAATAATATATGACACTACTACATATAAAATGGATAACCAACAGGGGCCTACTGTATAACACAGGGAACTACTTTCAATATGTCTTAATAATCTACAAGAGGAAAGAATCTGAAAAAAATAGATTTATATATACATACATACATATAACTGAGTCAGTTTGTTGTATACCTGAAATTAACACAACATTGTAAATCAACTATACTTCAATTTAAAAAGAAAGAAAAAAAAATACCTTCCCTTATGCCTTCTTGTTTGTAAGCTGGAAGAAATGTTCCTTATCTGTCTTTATTTCTTCCTTCATAAGCATCAGTATACATCCATTCACACTTAAATAGAGTACATGGAAATAGATTAGAGAATGAAATTAAATGACTAAAGATCAATTTTTATGCCTCCATTTTAATGTGATACATCTTAGTTTCTAAAAATTTTATAATCTAACAAGTATAATTTTACCTAGTCTGAAAGATAATTATATATAAAATATTGTCAAAAGTTGTATTTTTCTCCTGTGCATACATATTTTACTCACATGGTTCCATGCTGTATATTCTTCACAATAACCTGTTATGTAACATATTATTCTATTGTTCTTCTGATCATTCTGTCAGATTCTTCAAAAAAATGTATTAAAACATTAGGGAGGGAGGTGAAAGTGAAGTTCAAGAGGGAAGGGACATATGTATACCTATGGCCAATTCGTGTTGATATATGGCAGAAACCATCACAATATTGTTAAGTAATTATCCTCTAATTCAAAATTTTAAAAAAGAAACAATGTATAACACATTAAAAAAGAGTTATCATGTATTAATGTTTCAGCCATTATTCCTTTCTCTCTGTCATAAGACTAGCATTTTCAAGATAGAACCTCCTACTTTGGGTGTGATCGAAGAATCCAGTGGCAGAAAGCCACAGTCTATTTACATCTGACATTGAATATGAACATAAATGAACTTTCACTGTTGTAAGCCACTGAGATTGAGTTATTGTGCCACAGTGTAGCAAGTTGATCAAGACAGCCATGTTGCTTTCACTTCCACCTTTGTGCAACTGACCAAGTACTATGTTGTTTAAGATGTATAATGTTGGTTTCATGCATTATAGATACTCCACCTTTTCTCAACATTGGACATTCTACCTTAGACTCTGCCTGCCTCCCAATTCACCAGGCCACTCTACCCTTCCCCATCACTTTGAGAAAAGCCCCCTTGATGTCCTTGTTTCTCAGACTGTAGACCACAGGATTAAGCAGGACAGTGAAGACATTATAAAAGAGTGAGATCTGCTTGTCTTGCTCAGGGGAATATCTTGAATTGGGTCTCATGTAGATGTAGGTGGCTGGAGCATAGAAGAATGTGATCACAGTCAGGTGGGAAGCGCAGGTGGAGAAAGCCTTGCAGCGGGCCTGCATGGAAGTGAACTTGACAATGGCCTGGGCAATACGGATGTAGGAGGCCACAATGAGGGACAGTGGGGCAACAACCATGAAGACACTGATGACCGAGTCCACCATCTCAACGACATGAGTATCCATGCAAGCCAAATTTCGTACTGAGGGGCCTTCACAGAAGTAGTGGTTGACCCTGTTGGGCCCACAGTATGGCAGCCTCATGGTGAAAAAAGTGTGGATCAGAGAGAAGAAGAAACCACAGGCCCAGGTCCCAGCAGACAGCTGTGTGCACAGGCCCCAGCTGAGGATGACAGTATAACGCAGTGGATAGCAGATGGCCACATACCGGTCAAAGGCCATGACGACAAATAAAATGCATTCAGTCAGGCCCACGGCACCAAAGATGTACATTTGTAGCCAGCAACCAGCAAAGGAGATGGTCTGAGATCGAGAAAGAAGATGCACCAGCATCTGGGGCACTGTAGTGGTGACATGACTCATATCCAGCAGGGAGAGGATACAGAGGAAGAAATACATGGGAGTGTGGAGATGCATGTCCAGGCATACCAGAGTGATGATGAGCCCATTGCCCAGGACTGAGCTCAGGTAAAGAAGAAGGAAGGCACTGAAGAGGATCCTGTTGGTCGTGGGGTCACTGGAGAAGCCAAGCAGGATAAATTCAGAAACCCAAGTTTGGTTCTGACCTGGAGACATCCACATGATGGGCCTATAAGAGGATCACATTCATTTAAATGCCATCTAAAATATGATAGTCGAATAAGAACTGGAGGCAGACAGGCTATGATTTTAATTTTGAGTCCACTACTCACCTAGAGGCTTGCACAGTTACTTAACCTCTCTGAGCCTCATCTGTAAAATGAGGCTAATAACACTCGTCTTTCAGGGCGTTTAGGAAGAGTTGGGGCAATGTATACAAAGTATCTCGTATTAAAACAATACCTTAAAACACTAAGTAGTAATAAATACTCATTTGCAATCTCCCAGGCTTATTCCCCAACCCTCAGAGGAAAAATTGGTTGCTCAAATATCTAGTAACAATCAACTTACACAATATCATCTCCAGCCCCCAAACCTGCAGAAGTGCTCTTCCCTTCTGCCTTAAGGTCATTTGTCTGGATGTGTTACAAGCCTCTCCTCACCCTGAGAACATGTTTCTTTGACAACTGACAATAAGAAGCTTTATCAATAAAGGGTGACAGAGGGGCAAAGTGATGATAGAAGGAGGAGACTGAGGTTGGGGCTTCAATTTCTCCTTCCTCAGTTACTCACCTGGAATGCCAGTGGGTTGGTGGGGACCATACACAGTCACATACTCAGGCCACACACATTCTCCCTACCCAGTGATCACTTCTAGGAGAACTCTGGCCTGTGACTCCACCCTAACTTCCAGTAGCAGACTGTGTATTCCTGTGGCAGTCACATCCTCTCTGAAAAAGTCTGAGCTTAGTTTTTTTTTTTTTCTTTCTGGTTAGAGAAGATAGTGGTGTCAAGAGGAGGAGGAAGAAGGAGGGAAAGTGAAAGTCATTCAAACATGACCGACTCATTGCAACCCCATGGATTATACAGTCCATGGAATTCTCCAGGCCAGAATACTGGAGTGGGTAGCCTTTCCCTTCTCCAGGGGATCTTCCCAACCCAGGAATCGAACCCCAGTCTCCTGCATTGCAGGCAGATTCTTTACCAGCTGAGCCACAAGGGAAGTCCAAGAAGGATGGAAGTAACTCGTAAATCCTTAGGCCCTGTGAACTCTTCTTTAGCTATAAGACAATAGCTGCTTTTTTTCTTTTTTCATTTGCTACTTCTGGATTTCTTCAAGTTCCTTTTTATACCTTTTAGCAGTTATCTACCTTTAACTAGTCTAGTTAAGGCTATGGTTTTTCCAGTAGTCATGTATGGATGTGAGAGTTGGACTATAAGGAAAGCTAAGCACCGAAGAATTGATGCTTTTGAACTGTGGTGTTGGAGAAGACTCTTGAGAGTCCCTTGGACTGCAAGGAGATCCAACCAGTGCATCTTTAAAGAGATCAGTCCTGGGTGTTCATTGGAAGGACTGATGTTGAAGCTGAAATCCAATACTTTGGCCACCTGATGCGGAGAGCTGACTCATTTGAAAAGAACCTGATGCTGGGAAAGATTGAGGGCAGAAGAAGGGGACCACAGAGGATGAGATGGTTGGATGGCATCAGCGACTTTATGGACATGGGTTTGGGTGGACTCTGGGAGTTGGTGGTGGACAGGGAGGCCTGGTGTGCTGTGGTTCATGGGTCACAAAGAGTCGGACACGACTGAGCAACTGAACTGAACTGAACTGAACCTTTAGCTAACAATTCTGTATAGTAAATTTTCCCTGTTCACATTACTGGTGTGTTCTGTCTCCTGCCAGGATCCTAACTGAGGCAGATACTAAATCTATGGGGAATGAGTCTGATAAGGAACAGAATGCTATATAATTACAAGCTATCTATCCATAAAGTAATAACTAATTATGAAAGTAAAAAGTCGTAGCTATCAGTGGAGAAGTTGGACATCTTAACTGAGTGATTCAATTAATGTCACCAATAAGGAGCAGATAGACACCATGTGTCTCCCTATGCGAAATCCTTACAATAGACCACCTATATATTATTTGAGATAAAAAAGCAAAACCTGAATCTAATCACGAGAAAACATCAAATAAACCTAAATCGAGGAATATTCTACAAAATAATTAGCTTCTAGTCTTCAAAAAATATCTATCATGAAAGACAAAGAAAGTTCTAATCTGTAATAGAAGCAAGGAAACCAAAAAAAAAAAAAAAACTATTGCAAAAGGTAAACCTGGAAAGGGGGAATACTACAAATAACATTAATTTGATAACTGATAAGCCTGGAATATGAATTAGATTAGTTTAGATATGTGTCAGTGTTAAAATTCCTGAACTTGACAACTACTATTCTCTTACATCTTAGAAACTGTTCTCTGAAGTATTAAAGGGTAAATGAACATGATATTTACAAATTATTCTCAAATAGTTCTGGAAATTACAAGAATAACAATGCTAAAAATTTAATAAATGTAGTTATGGGACATACAGGATTTCTTTGTAGTATTCTTTCAGCTTTTCTGAGGGTTTTTTACTTCCAAAAAAAGTTTTTGAAAAAAAATTTAAGTGTGAAATAAAAACTCTTTCATAAAAATAAAAAGTGAGATAATTTAAACGAAGTTCTTCAAGTAGAAAGAAAGTGACAGAAACAAAAAAATTTTAAAGGAAGGAAGAGCCCCTCAAAGAAAGGTTAAATATAAATTAATAATGAACATAAACCAATAATAAAGTTTTGTGAGATTAAAGATTATGGCAACAATACACAAGAAGTGGAATTAGTAACTAGAGTTAGTGTCTAAACATTTTGCATAGCTGGAAAAATGGTAAAACTAATCTCTAGAATTAGACTGTAAAAAATCAAAGATTTATGTTAAAGTATCTAGGAAAAATCAGTAAATGAATGAATACTATATAAAACCAACAGCCTAAAATAGGAGAAAATTAACTAATAAAAATGTTCATTGTTCCAAAGTCATGCTCTTTTAAGAGAGGAAGAAAATCAAACAAAAAATAGCCAGCTCAATAGAAAATAGGTGGAACTTAACTATGTATGCAATTACTTTAAATACAAAAGGACAAATGCTTTCATCAAAAGCATATTTTCAAACTGAGTTTTTAAAAACCCTATATATTATTCACAAGATGCATACCTTATTCAATCTGCAATTAGTAAATATATCAAAGCAACATGTAGTTCACCTTAAATAATGTTGCATCAGTTATATCTCAATAAAGCTGGGGGCGGGGTGGGGGGAAGGAATAAACCTGAATGTAAGGACATAGATACACTAGGAAGAAAATATATCACGCAAATATTAACTGAAAGAAATGTTGTAGCTTCATGAAACATTTGTCAAAATAGACTATATGCTGCATAATAAATGTAAACTCAAAAAATCTAAAGCACGAAAATCAATCAGAATATACTCTCTAAACCATGATATTGGCTAGAAATCAATTTCAAAGTAAATATAATGAGTAAATACCTGACTTCTTTGAAATTAGCATCCACTTCTAAATAATTTGGCTTCCCAAGTGGCTCAGTGGTAAAGAATCCTCTTGCCAATGCAGGAGATGCAGGGGTTGCAGGTTCAATCCCTGGGCTGAGAAGATCCCTCAGAGAAGGAAGTGGCAACCCACTCCAGGATTGCTCGTGGTTCTGCCCGGTCGTGTCCAGCTCTGTGCAACCCTATGGACTGCAGCCTGCAAGGCTCCTCTGTTCGTGGGATTGATCCTCCTCCAGGCAAGAATACTGGAGTGGGTTGCTATTTTCTCCTCCAGGGTATCTTCCCCACCCAGGGGTAAACTGAACCCCGCATTCTGTGTCTCCTGCGTTGCAGGCGGATTCTTTACCTGCTGAGCCATCGGGGGAGCCTTTAATATTCTTGCCTGGGAAATTCCACAGACAGTGGAGACTGGCAGGCTACAGTCCTTGGGGTCACAAAGAGTCAGACACAACTTAGCGGCTAAACAACAACAACAACTAAACAATTTATGGGATAAAGAAAATCTAAATGGAAATTAAATACATTAAATAAATGATTAAAATAAAACATTATCAGTGCTTAGGGCAAGAACTTTATAGCCTTAAATTCACATATGAAAATATTTTTAAAAGGCTAAAATAAACTGAACTTTTCATCTCAAAAAGCTAGCAAAGGAGCTACAAATCAAGCCCAAAAAGAAGTTGAAGGAAGGAAATAATAAAGATAAGAGCAGAAAACAATGAAATGGTAAAAAAGCTTACAATGGAAAAAAGTTGACAGCACTCAAATTTTTCCTTTGAAATAATACCTAAATCCTTAACAAGTTTGGTAAAGAATAGTAAATAAAACATGAATTACCAACATCAGGAATGAAAAGGGGAATGTTACTACAGATCCTGAAAGTGAAGTGAAAATGTAAGTTGCTCAGTAATGTCCAATTCTTTTCGACCCCATGGACTGTACAGAATTCTCCAGGCCAGAAAACTGGAGTGGGTAGCCTTTCCCTTCTCCAGAGGATCTTTCCAACCCAGGATTGAACCAAGGTCACCCACACTGCAGGCTGATTCTTTACCCGCTGAGCCACAAGGGAAACCCAAGAATACTGGGGTGGGTGGCCTATCCCTTTTCCAGTGGATCTTCCTGACCCAGGAATCAAACAGGGTCTCCTGCATTGCAGGCAGATTGTTTATCAATTGAGCTATCAGGGAAGTCCACTATAGATCCTACAGGCCTTTAAAACAAATTTCAAAAATTACAACTTTATAACAATAAATTTGACAGTTAAACAAAATGGACAAATGAAAACACAAACTTCCAAAACTGATAAAGAAGAACTAAAAGTTAGGAGAGTTCACTGTCTTTCCAGAAAATTGAATCTATAATTTTAAAATATCCTAGAAAGAAAACTAGATCCAAACAGATTTACTGGTGAAGTTTTCTAACATTTCAGACAGGAATAATACCAATCATAAGAAGCTCTTTCAAAGTCTAGAAAAAGAGTGAAATAATTTTATGAGACCAGCATTAACCCAATATCAAAAAATAAGAAAAACATTACAAGAAGGAAAACTCATAAATGAATCTCATGGGTGTTGATGCAAAACTCCTTAACAATATATTAGAAATGTTAATTTAAC